ATATTTTTTCCCCTTACCCATAAACAGATGCAGCACCCGCGAGGCGGCTGCTATTTTAAATGGTGGGGGCAAAAACTCAGAAAAAAAAAAAAAATTATAAAAAATATTAGGTCTAATAGCTGTGAAAACGGGCGCCTGACCTACCTGCTAGGAGTTACAACTCCGAATCTCCTCCAAATACGTTATATCAGGGTGACGCTCCTATCTTAGTTTTTTTTTTTTTCTTCGACTATTGACTTATGCCGACGACTCCCTCGTTCACCCGTACTCATTACCAAGCCATGACCCTGCGAGAAGTAGGCTAAGGTTCGATTCACAACGGAATCAAACACATAATTTTTTTTTTGATAAATCAGAGAGGTGAGTAAAATAACTGGCAAATAATAAAAAATCTTTTTAGTAGCAAAATCATCATAAAATTTTAACAATACTATCGTATCTATCATGATCCTACTTTCATTTTTTTTTTCCTACATTTTTATTGTAAAAGAAATATTTCTTATCAATCTTAACAATGTTTTTCATATTTGGTTTAGATATATCAATATTTTTATTTGTTTTTTTATAAAATTTTATTCAATATTTTTATAATCTGTCATAAATTTCAATTATAAGTTGTTTTCATGTTATAATCTTTATTGACATGAACTCCATAATTTTGCAGCGTAATGGAAGTCAACTCATCTATCTGGTTATAATCACTCAATACTTATCAAAATCCTTAGGATAATGTTAAAAGTGAATTGTGTATAAGTTATAAGAAAAATTCATTCGTAATATTCATAGCTTATCGATCGTTTTTAAGTTATATAACTTGAAAGAAGTGATTCATATAAGATTGGTAGTAACAGTTAATCATACCTGCTTTAGAAAAATAAAATATTTATTTTCTACTACGGATAATTTTTCAACCACTTTTTTAATAAGACGCCAACTGCAGCTCCAACTTATGTTGCATAAAGGTTTTATACTACTTGACAATGAACTACTAGATTCAGTTATAAGTCGCTTTAACATTAGCATTTTTTTCGACCATCATCTCGTACTATACAAAAAACCTACTCATCTCTCTACTCATGACCACTCATAGTTTGTCAGCTATCTTTAAGATAACGTTGAAAGTAAGTAATTTATATATAAGTCAAAAGAAAGTTAATAAATTAAGTTACGATATTATGGATTTATTGATTGTTTTTTAACTGCAGGATTCTTTTTTTTTTTTTTAATTATATTTTATAATTTCCATAGTACTACTTGGAAAAAAAAAAAACAAGTTGATATAAAAACAATGAACCGATAATTTTTAAAGGTTAGACGACTCATGAATGCAACTTTTAAGATAACGATATAAAAAAAAAAGTATAAAAATGAAGAAGTCAGCAGAAAGGGGAACAGTAAAGATAAATATTTTTTTTTTTACCAATATTTTTTTCAAACGTTAATGCTTTGTTATTTGGTTGTTAACTAGGCTACCAGAGTGGTCCGGGTCCACTTGCCCGGCCAGGCCAAAAAAATATAAAAAAATAAAGAAATAAAAATTATTTTTTAATTTAAAATTTTATTTTAAATGTGGTAAATAATTTTGATGTGACCCTGGGGCAAACGTTGTTCAGTTTATTTTTTTGGATAACATAGTTTGTTTTCGGATTTTTTTTTTTTTTTTTTTTTTTTTGACTGGGACCTCCCCTTGTCCTCGCATGGTCGGGCCGCCCGGGAAAATAGGGTGACATGGGTGGCCCGGATGGTAGCCGAGGTTGTTAATGAATTAAATCCTCCATTCCCTTTTTGCTTCATTCTATCTGGATTTCATATGAGAATAAGGTTATTGTTTTTTTGTTTTTTCCCTTTTTATATTTCGGTCAATATTTTTATGATATATATTAATCGATCGATTAGTAAGGTATCAAACCATCAACATAATACATGTTTCTGATTTCTACTAACATAAATCTAACAAGTGACTCTCCTAAAGGTTTTATTATTCAATAAACGATGGTTTTTTTTTTTATACAAAATATTTGACAAACGATTATTTTTTAAGTAATAGGAACACTAAAAAAACTATGAATTTTCAAAAGGAAGAGATGTACAATTAAAATGATGGTGAAGGAAGAAAGGCGGATTCATTAAAATTTATCGTGTTGCGAGCTGTTAATTTCTCCAGTTGAAAACATACGAGGTGCCCAACGTTCAATATGCGATTGAGTTCAATACGAGATATTCAAACCTTTAACAAGTAAAATACCATGAGATTTGACATGATGTCATGCAAAGTAAAAAAAAATAAAGGATTGACATGTATATAATTCGTAGTAGTAAAGTTGGAAGGAATAAACAACATCTTTCACTGAACAAATAACTTTTTATATTTCTTTGTTTTGTTTTTAACAGTCACTTTGTCTGCAATGAAAAAAAATATAAAAATTCATAAAAAAACACGGAAAAGAATTATCATCCAACTTTGCATAATCACAAAGACATAAATTTGATTTTCATAGAGTTGTGGGTTGAATTTTAATTTGTCTCACTTACTTGTATTAAATGTTAGTCATTTTTTTGTTTTTGTTTGTTCGTCCTTTTTTATCTTCTACTTTTTGACAGTTTGTTTATTTTCTCTCTATTTGGTTGAGCAAGAAACCCAAATAGTTGACACAATTATGTCACAATAAAGCAATAAAGTCTTTCTCTTGTTCTCTTGACTAAAAAAAAAAAGAAGGATGAGGTTCTTAAGATGTGTTCCTATACCTCACGGGTTGTAATACACAACCTTAGTCCCTACACAATAATTCATACTCGTAGAAAAAATGTTGATTAAAATATAGCGCATGACCAAAAGTTTTATGCAAGGGGCTGCAATCCCATGAAAAAGTCAAACCTTATTGTATAAATTATTATGCTATCTTGGTAAATCAGGAAAAAAAAAAAAAAAAAAACTGAAAAAACTTATTTTTTAAAATTGTCTTTCGCTTAGGAGAACGTGATGAAAAGAAGTTGGAAACAACAAGGAAGCAAAAAAAAAAAGTGAAAATAAAAAATAATGCGATCGCATCGTGAAGAGAGCAAGAGTTGCCTCGATTACTCAAAGTCTTAGCTATCAGACGATGAATCCGAAGAGGTTAGAGATACAACAACAAGGAAGCCGGTAAAACGGTAACAGACACAATGCTAAGCTATTGGAAGTGGATAGCTCCGCGATACCCGAACACAAACCATTGCAACACACGCAAGTTACCCTGTTTGCACCATTGACAATGAAACTAGGGGTTTTTCGTAACGTGCGTGACACACTAATTTAATATTGTTCAGTCGGAGTACGGGAAGATGAGTTATGCTGAATCGACATAGTGTATTAGTATGAACCTATTTGCATTAAAGTGACAAGCTTTGAATAAAAAATGAAAATAGACTCGGTTCACAATAAAAATCTTCTTACATCTACGTTGTAGTAGACAAAGTCTTTATTTGTAACGAAAAATCGAAAAGGCTAGCTTTAAAAAGACTAAAGTCGGCAAATACTAACTCCATATACACAACTTAGTATAAATCACCAATCAGTGAAGACACAAAGTAATTGAGCACAAACCAATCTTGCAAAAGGACGAAGTCCACCAACGAATCTTAAATATAAATTGCAATCAAAATAAGACAAAAATTCTTAAGTTTTACTGCATTCTTATTACCATTCACATACTCAAACGATCGAAGCACAACACATATTTGAATCATTGCAACTCGTGTAAGAGATAAAGTGCAATGGGGATACCACTTATTCGTACACTGAAACCCGTTCACAACCGATCTCGATTAAGTGGAGTAATCATATGTACATTAAATTTTCATAGCCAAGATGATGCATGAGGCCTAGTGCTCCAACATATATTTGAACATCGAACAAGCAATAAATTAATGAAGAAAAACAATAATAGGGCTATGAAACTTTATTTTAAATTTAAACAACGATCTCTGCTATATCCGCACAATTTACAAATATCACTTAGGAGGAAGAAGAGAAGTTGACAAGTATGCATGAGCAGTAGTTGGCTTGCGTGCAAAATAAATTCAATTGTTGCCGCACATGTGCATGCATGTAATTTTAAGGATAGAAAGGAAGGAATAGGTTTGAAACTATCACTATTTCTTTGAGCATTTTGACACAGTTGCTATTCGGCTGTGTGATCCTTAAATGTTGAAATGCAAGGACAAGCATAAAAATAATATATATTTCGGCCCGCAGATTTAGAACCGGACCCAATGGTTTGCAAACGAACTAAGGTTCGTCCCCGCGTCCAAATTTAGAACCGGGCATTCATCGAAAGGTATATCTCTGTGCGAGGTACAATTTTGGATGTACTTGCGCTATATTTGTTGTTTGGATCTCAAACGGTCGTAATTTCAGTCAGGTACATCAAGGAAAGTTCCTAGTGTGAATATACGTCCTTATTGAGCTCGAGTCATGAACTTCCTACTCTCTCCCCCCCAATATAACACACCGGTATCGTGTGCAATGTTTGGGGGCAAACTATAGCCGCCAGTGGTGGTCATTAACATCTAAGTGTAGGCGGCAAGGTAGCAGGCGAACTGACGATTGAGCTTTTTTTAGCACAGTCAACTAGGTAACGGGCAAGTTGAAGGATATAGAGCGCAAGGTGGTGGTGAAGACTTGACATCCAAGTTAATCAAAGAAGGAGGAGAAGACCTAGCCGAAAACAACACTTCACTGCCGGTTGGTGTTGAAGGAGACACAAAAACGGCCTGGTGTTCTTTGCCTGACATAGACAGCCCCCTCTGCCACGTGGTGGTGGAAGGAGGACCACTCCCATCTTGCCCTTCTCTCCGGTTTGCCTAGGAAATAGGTAACTGGTGGACTCCCACGGTTATATGCCCACAGTGAAAAGATGGTACAACGAAAAGATGCCCAGTACCGGTAAGGGAAAATTACATATTTCCATCAAAGCCCGTAACAGCCATACCATACCGGTAAGGGTGAATCTAAGCACGTAACAGTCGTATGTACTGGGACATCCACGGTGGCCTTGAGATACCATCATCGAACTGACCAGCCCCAGGTAATTCTGAATTGTTCCCTTCTGTTCATCTGATTGCTTCTGGATTCAAACTTGGGTCTGTATTTCAACAGTTCAGGGGTGTACCAACTGAGCTAGGCCCGTTGGTTCCAGAAAGTTTGAACCTGTACAGGAAGGGGCATACTGAAAAGATGTCAGGCCCACGGAACCTCGGGGATAGTTTGCAAATTTAGACCACCGGCAGAGGGCCATGGGAGTGCAAGCTGGGTTTTTGAGGTGCACATAACAAAAAAGTTTCCCTTACCATACGTATGTTTTCTTCAAACCAAAAAACGCCAATGGAACGTATGGAAGTGATTCCGCACAGTCAAATGAAACACCTTGGGCTCGCCGCACCACTCCACCAAATGTGAAAAAGACGAAAGCTATGGCGGGGGAATCTGTCCACGATTTAGCGGACAATACATTCTCCGTGTTGCACATTTGGTGGGGTGGTGGTTCGAGGCCCATTGTGCGCTGATGCCTTCACTTCATCTTCATTCATCTTAAGGCTGTACTCCCCAAAGGACATTTACAATGACATTCAAGGATGTATCTGGTCCGGTAGGTGGGGTCCAACGGAGGACTTCCGCGAGGGGTGGCGCGGGAAATAGCTCACCAATCCCGACGGTTGCTGAGCTATTAGGTCTCCCACTATCAATGACGCTGACGTGTCTTCAATCGGACCGATGAACGTTCGGCTACCGGTAGTCGGAAACTGCCGCGTGACCGACCGTGGGCGGGGGGGGGGGGGGGGGGAGGGGGGGGGGGGGCATTTCGCCACATGCTGATTATCAGTGTCGTGGGTACGACAGGGAACTGCCACGTGCCCTCTGGTGGGCGCGGGAAAATGTGGGGGCACGTGGTGCATATGACTGCCAACTCTGCGAGAGGGGATTGCCACGTTTCGACGGCTGAGGTGGGGACCACTTCTCCGCGTGCTGTGTATCACGGCCCGTCGGTGCACTACTTTGCGACTGTGACTCACGGCTGAGGGGTTGGCACGTGGCAGTTCCCTTCCGCATCATCTGGTTCAGATTCTGGTGTGTATTTCTTCACTTCCATCTACTACCAGGGGCTTCTACCTACCTCCCTCTCTCCCATTTCATCTCTCCATCGCAGTCTCTCCATCCCTCGTTCGTCGTCATCCGGCGTTCTGGCTCGACTGCCCTCGATATTACCGTAGTAGATCTCCGCGTCTACTTCCATCAAAGCCCGTGGGCTAGGTCACACTTGCACGAATTATGCCATATCGACCGTCGATAGCGAAGATCAACGGCCGCAATCTCCTAATCCGTGCAAGTGGGACCTTGCCCCGTGCCGGGCCTTCTCTTTCTTGCCAAGAGTGGCGGAAGAAGAGCAGAGCTGATGCCACGTGGCCGTAGTCGCGTAGCGATGGCGATGACGAAAGTTGAGGAGGCCGGGCCAGAGGACTCCGAGGTAACTGACGCATGGAAGAAGGCTCATACCACGGAACCTAAGGCAGCTCTTAGCAAGTCTGAAGCGCGCCTCAACCGGCGGCGGCAAGGGCTAATACTAAGAAGCACTATGAGAGAAGCTGATGATGGCGTTCCCTGCCGTCGATGCACTACTTTTTTGTGATTGCGACTAATTGATTTGCGGGGTCGGCACGTTTTGCAGTTCCCTTCTTCCGCATCATCTGTTCAGATTGCGTGCGTAAAAAAATCCTTCACTTCCATCGTCCAGGGGCTCCTACTTATACCTACTGAGGCTACGTCCCTCTCTCCCACCCTCCTATTCTTTCTCCCTTCTTACTTAGTTCTTCTCCTTCCGCCGATCTATCTCGACTTCTATCTCCATCACTCTAGATATCCCGTCTGTTTGTTATTATAATCTAATAACTAATAAGGGAGGTAGAAACTGCGCCTGTGTTTCCTTGCAAAGAGTCGTGGCAAAGCTCACGGGTAATGCCACGCGGGGGAAAGAGGCGCGTAGCGATGGCGTCGTCGTCGTCGTCGGCGGCGGTGACGAACGCGGAAGATGCCGGGCCAGGGGGAGACGTCGACGTTACTGCGGATGATACGTCGAAGGCTCGAATCACAGAATTGGAGCAAGCGCTGCGGAAATGTGAAGCGGAGCTGGCGGCGAGGGGTAAGCACTACGAGGGGAAACTGATGACGATGTCTGTAATCAACGGCGCGCTGCAGGCGGAAAACAACAAGCTGAAGGAGGCGGCTGCGAGCGCCCAAGAGCCAATGGAGCTAAGGCAAGAGCTGGAAGAATTGCAGGAAGAATTCACAAGACGGCTTGGGATCGCAGAGAGAACGGCCTCGACGATGAGAGATGAGTGTTTTGGACTTCGACAACAAGTTGAAGATCTGAAGAAGAGAGAAGCAGAGACTTTGCAGAAAGCCCAAGAGAAGGAGGAGATGGCGACGAAGTGCGGCTCAGAGAACGAACGACTACATAAGAAGATGACGGATCTGGACGTTACGCTGAGGAGACTGAAGGCTGATGTGTTGAAGGCAGAGCAAGATCGAGGCATAATGGCTGCGAGATTGCAGGCGATGGAAGCAGCTGCACAGTCGGAGGAGATCAACAGGTCGATGAGCCTTGAGGAAATGAACGAGGCTTTGGAGGCAGCAAGGAGCAGCCTTGTGGAGCAGAAGGAATTCTACACCAAGGCTTTGGCCAAAGCACACCAGGAGGCTGCTGAAGAGATCGAAAGGGTGAGGGAGGAGGCAATCGAGAAGATCTCCCAGATGGAGAAAGCACATGCGGAGAGCGAGAATGCCTTCACTGCCAATCTAGACTCCTTTCGACAGAGTCTGGCTATGGTGAGCCAAGAGGCATCTGAGAGAGAAGAAATCTTAAGGCGGAACCTCAGGGACCTGGAGACGAAGCTGAGGCAAGCGGTACATGCGCAAGAAGAGGCTGTTGCAAACCTGGCTGAGAGAAATCTGCCTCTGGTCAGACAGATCGAAGGGCTGTCCATGCAGCTTGCCAAAAAGGACATGGCCCTGGAGAAGATGGAGATGGAGTGGATGCAGAGATTGCAAGAGGCAGAGATCAAAGCCGCCCAGGCAAAGAAGGCACAGCAGAGGGCAGAGGCAGCCGTTACAGCAGCAGAAAACAAGGCGGAGTTGACTGAGAAAGCAGTGGCTGAGCTCAGGGGGGAGGTTCTAGTGCTTCAAGGAGAACTTAGGCAGGAGGAGAAACAGCGCAAGTCCATACAGGCGGAGTACGAGAGGGTGCAGGAGGAGGTGGAGTCCTTGGAAAGGGCCAAAGAGCAAGCGGCAGTGCATTTGGCCAATGCAATCAAGTCAAAGGAGGAAGCAGGGAGGGAGCTGCAACAGTTGAAGAAGGACAGTGAGGCTTTGCTGGAGAAAGAGCGGAGGAATTGGGAAGCAGAAAAAGCTACCCTCGAGTCGGCGAACAAGGAAACCAGCCTACGACATCGCTTGCGCTGGATGTCCTTTGATGAAAGGGAAATCAACGGTTCAATTCTGATGATGGGAGAGGAGGGGGCAGCCAAAATGATGCTCACCCCTCCAGTGCCAGCATCATCATCATCATCATCATCATCAACGACAACAACCACAACAACGACAACAACAACAACAACAGCAATTTCAAGATCTCCTAGTGGTGGATTTATCAAGGACTTAGATAATCTTGGCAAACACCTCACAGGTGGCAGTGCTGCAGCCACAGAGCTACTCACTTCGAAGATACGTCAACTGCAGGGTGAAATGGCGCAGCTGCAGAGGGAATTGGCTGCTGCACGGTTCGCTCGGGACCATGCCTCAGAGGAATTGTTGAAGGTATCACAGCGTCTGTATGACCTGGAGCAGGATGCATTCTCAGCGCCTAAGCTTCGAGCGGAATTGGACGAGCTTAAGAAAAGGCATGATGTGGCCCTGGTTATCATCGGTGAACGCAATGAGAGGGCCGAGGAGCTGGAAGCAGACATGGCAGATGTCAAAGCCCTGTACAGGGAGCAAGTCAACTTGCTTGTCAGCCAAATCGATCCTGAGAAATGGCCTAACGGTTACCGCATCTGCCTGTTCTGCCCCCACTGCGCTCAGGTTCAGTCGCAATCTCGCCGGTCCAAATGCGACAAGCAGCAAAGAGCATCCTAGAAGAAGTCATCCCCAGTTTTTTCCTCACCTCCTGCACTGATTTCTTCCTTTGGTTATCAATCAATTCCTATTATGTGCGTGTGTGCACTGTGTGGTTCGCAAATTCCATTTTTGAACCGGCTCCTCTAGACTACGTCTCCGTCACAGTTGGTGTTTCTTCGCCAACTTCCTTCCCCCTTTTTTTTTTCTCTTTTGCGCTGCGTAGTTTAAGTAGTGATTTATACAGTTCTGCGATCGGCAATTTCGTACGTAGAGAGTGCAAAGTCCTTTTGATTGGTCACTGACTGACACTGCTTTTTCTTCGGGGATTGAGGAAAAAGGCAAACAATCAGGGCACCCGGTTAACCACGTGTGCGGGATTGCTGCACTCCTAGTCAGTCCTCCTTCCATCACTCTTAATTCCTTGCTTCATCGAATACTTTCACTCTTAATTCCTTGCTTCGTCGAATACCTTCGATCCTCAGAAATCTGTTCATGGCGGTAGTAGTTGGTCGCTCTGGCGAAGGGTGATTTCTCTCTGAGCGATGATGCGCCAGTTTGGCAAGCTGATTCTCTGAATATATGTCAATGACAATCCTTTGACAACCCTTTTTCTTCCACTACTGCAACCTGTTGGTGAGTTTTTTTTTGTCTCCCCCCCCCCCCCCCCCTGCTAATCTTCTCGGTATCGTTCCACTGTTCTTAACAGATGTCCCGAAGAGGGTGATTTTTCTCTGAACGGTGATGCTTTCTGCAGCCCAGCTGATTCTCTGACTGTGTCAATGACAGCCCTTTGACAACCCTTTTTCTCCCACTACTGCAACTTGTTGCTGAGTTTTTTCTTTTTTCTTTTTTCTTTTTTTCATGCTAATCTTCTCTGTATTGTTCCACTTTTTTTAACGGATGTCTCAAATAGGGTGATTTCTCTCTGAAAGGTGATGCTTTCTGCAGGCCAGCTGATTCTCTGACTGTGTCAATGACAACCCTTTTTCTCAACCTCTTGTGAAAAGACTCAAGAGTCAAAACGCTTAACTGCAACCTGTTGCCGAGTTTTTGTTACTCTGTGAAAAGACTCAAGAGTCAAAACGCTTCTTCCCAGTTCCGTGGCCAACATCTTGTCACGCTTTCGCTTTGTACTTTTCTTTGGCCCACGGCCGATTCTTCATGACCAATCCATCCTCGTGAAGGCACTTTGTCATTTTCATCTGTCACTCTCCCGCCCATCTTTTCGAATGCACCTGTGTGTACTCCAATGCAGTCCAGGAAGCACAGATGTGCCGGCAGAGCCGACCTACCTGAGCAATCTTCGTGCGGGTAGGGGGAAAGAGAGGGGGGTGAATCGCGAGCAAAGCTGAGTTTTGCATGCAAACATATGCATCGTATGCCCTGGGCATCCCGATCGACGAAGGATCATTGGTTTTTATTTTATTTTGGGAAGTAGTTCACACCACAGTTAGCACCTGTCATTTTTTGGTATGTGTGGATGCCTTCTTTTTTTTTTTTTTTGTGTGTGTGTGTGTGTGGATGTCATTTTTGGCCTGGCAGATGTGTCTTGGAACTGCCAACTTTGGTCTGGCAGATGTGTCTTGGAAAGCATTGATTTTTTAAAAAAATTTTGGTGCATGTTTGCACCTCTAACAATGGGGTCTGGTAGGCCTTGTGGGTCTCCGCAGGGCGTGATTGTTCATGCCCCCTACCGTAGTCCTCTCTCAGTTCAATGAGAGTTCAGCTAGAGGAGATGGAGTCTTGATTTACTTGTTGCATCATATACGTAAGGGCGGTTAGATTCATCTCTTTCAGATCAGTCCTCATCTATTAACATCGGATGGTGGGCCGAGGCCCAGCTGGCCACGTCGAGCACTTAGCGCATATTTGCGTGGTGTGGATTTGCCCGAACCGTATGTGCAAGTTTCCTCGCATACAGCCCTCACGGAGGTCCGTAGTGATCGACTATCAGTAAGCCGGTGGAGGCTTGGCAGCTGCGACCTGGATGGACGCCGCGCAAAAAATTCTGTTTTCACTATAGGACCCTTTGTGATGTCTGGCATCAATAAGTACTATTGTCCATCTGTCGCCCCCAGTGTTTCCACTAAATGCAAGCCAGATACGTTAAAGGTAGTGCCTGGTGTGAGTGCCTGTTGAATTACATGTCCCGCAGCAACACGTCAGAGCACCTGTCCTGTTTGTCCCAAAGAAAGGTGGGGAACTGAGGCTATGCATAGACTACAGAGGCTTGAATGCTATCACAGTGAAGAATGCTGAGCCACTGCCTAGGATATATGACCTATTCGACAGAGTCCAGGGATGCAGTGTGTTCAGTAAGATTCATTTGAAATCTGGTTTCGCTTGATGATGGAGTTGATTCGCCTTTGTGTCTACGACAGGATTGGGAATGCTGAGCCACTGCCTAGGATAGATGACCTGTTCGACAGAGTCCAGGGATGCAGTGTCTTCAGTAAGATTGATTTGAAATCTGGTTTCGCTTGATGATGGAGTTGCTTCGTTTTTTTTTGTGTCTACGACAGGATTGGACGGTCCTGTGTATTTTCAGCTCATGAGTTCTGAATCTTCCGATCACGTTTGGTGGTTTCGGGAGGTTCGCTGGCGTTGGCACTTGTCATTTTGGGCCTGTGTGGAAAAGCCATCTTTGTTCTTATGGGGTCTCACTCCACTACAGAACACTCTACATGCATTTGGACGTGTTCTTGACCGGATGCATTAAAAAATGTTGGACTGGTCCGAATGCACACTAGTCGAGAAAGCATCCAAATGCATGTACAGTGTTGTGTGCAGTGGAGCCATGGCCATGGTCCGGCAGAAGTGTCTTGGAAAGCATTAAATAAAATTTACGTGTTTCGTCTGACAACGTTGGGGCTTCTGTGGATATACAGGAGGAGGGTTGCATGGCCGCCACTTTACATATAAGTTTATTCGCCGATTGTTGCTGCAACCGAAAAGCGGTGGGACATCGCAGTGTGGAGCGGTTGGGGCAGGCTGTGCCTGCGGCTCAGGTGTGGATTTCAATGCAGCAATCAGTCTGTTTACGCCATGCCCAGACTGTCTGTTCTTTTTTTTTTTTTTTTTTTTTTTTTTTTTTTTTGGTACTGAGTTTGAGGATGCAGGAAGATGAATCTGGGCCACGCTGTGCCTGTGGCTCAAGTGTGGATTTTACTGCAGCAACCAGTCTGTTGACGTCATCACGAGAGTGAGCATGAACTGCTTCTTCTTCGTCTTCTTCTTCTTTTTTTTTTCTTTTTTCTTTTTTTTCGCTGAGTTTGTGGACAAAGGAAGATGAATTCTGGTTTGAGCACCAGAGCATTGGAGTGTTATATTGTTTTATATTTTTCAGTGTACGTCGAAGGCTTGAAGGCTTGAAGGACAAAGTGTTCAAGAACAGGAGGGAAAGGT